AAGGGGGGGGGGCAGTGCCATCTGCAAGCACACACACCTGTCCCCAGGTGGGCTCCATCAGTGAGGGCGCGCGCGCGCGCACACACACACACACACACACACACACACCTGTCCCCAGGGGGTTTCATCAGCATGCACACGCTCCCACATGTCCCTCAGGGCAGACCGGGCCCTGCTGAGCACTAAATAGACAGGCTGCCCGTGTGAGCTCGGTGATCATTGGTAGGTGTTCAGCGCTCCGTGCCTTAGTCTATAAAATACAGTCACTGGCAGGCCTGTCTCACTGGGCTGTTCGGGGGCTAAATCACTGTGGGAAGGAGAAAAGGACTGGGCACAGGTTCCCTCACTTCCATTCACTCACTCGTCCACTCACCTGCCGGCCAGGTCAGGTGCTGTGACAAACCCACAGGCGGGGCAGCTCACACAGCACACGTCTCGCACTCTGGAGGCCCAGATCCAGTGCCAGGGCTCGGCCTGGCTCCCAGCAGCTGCGTCTGGACTGTGTCCTCCCAGCCGAGGGAGCAACCAGTGCCCTGGGGTCTCCTCTCAGGCTCCAACCCCGTCCCGGGCTCTGCCCCCGGGTGACCTTCCCTCCACGTGCAGCCTTGCTGAGCGAGCACCTCTGTGTAAGCAGCTCGCGGGGCGTGGAGCCCTCGCCGACCCTGGGACTCACGGCTCTGTCCCATTGGCCCGAACACCGTGCTCTCTAGCGGCCGCGACCCACCCAGCCCCGTGCCTGTCTTCCACCCTGAGACCTGGCTGCATGCACTGCTGCTGCCTTGTTCTTTCAGTTAGTTTACAGCCAATGCTATTCTGCAGGGCACTGTTGTTTTTTGAGAGAAAAGAGAAAGTGAAATACCTTTTTAAATCCCAGTTTTCTCAAAGGTGAGATTGAGGGTGGGCGGCTTGGGTTGGGACAGCTCTGTGTGTGGTCTACTTCCTGCATCCTCATTCCCCATCTGCTCCCAGGTCTGGGCCTGGGGCCAGGCCCCTGGAGGGTGCCCATGACAACCATCAACAGGCCATACTTTACTCTGGGGCTTTTAAAATCTAACCCCCCTTTTCCTACCCAAAACTGAGTCTAGGAAAGGGGGAAGCTGCTCTGCAGAATGGACTGTGGACAGCGGGCAGCTTCCTGGGCCTATATCTCGGAGGGGGATGGACAAACCCTCCCCTTTGGGTGGCCTCCGCCCCACCTGTGCCATGCCTGCTGAATGGCATCTCTCCCCCCCAAGTCCAGGGAGGCCTCCTCCCACCAGGTGTGAGCACGGGAGGCTCCGGTGGAGGCCCAGTGAGTGCCCAGGGGTGGCGCTAGGGAATGATCAGTGTGTGCTCACTGGGCTCCTCATGCTTTCATCCCTCCCCACTTACCCTCAGCCTCGGCCCACAGACCTCCCCAGCCTCCCCACGCCACCAGTCAGCCCCCTGGCCTCTGGCCCACCCTTCTCCACTCAGAGATTTCCCAGGGGCACCTATGTTGTCATTCTTTGTTCAGAACCCTCCTGGCCTGCAACTGCCTCCCAAGTGCAGACCAGCTCTCCCACATGCTAGGTATCTGCCCAGTCCATCAGTGCACCCCAGGTGCACACCCAGCCCCCAGTACACCCAGGTGCGCACCCAGCCCCCAGTACACCCAGGTGCACACCCAGCCCCCAGTACACCCAGGTGCCACCAGCCCCCAGTACACCCAGGTGCGCACCCAGCCCCCCCGATCCATACAAAGCCCTTCAGCCCTACCCTCCTGGTCCTCCTCGCTCTCAATGCCAGTTCCCTTCTTGTCCCCACACCCACATGTGCCATCTGTTTCTGTACCAAAAGCACAAGGGCTGGCCAACCAGTCTGCTCCTGAAGTTTGCAGACTGAGATGACTCAGGCTCGAGGGCAGAGGCTGCTGCAGTGTGTGGGTCAGCACTGTGTGTGGGTCAGGGTCCCTTGGGTACTGCTGCCTCTACTGCACTCCCCTTTTACTCCTGGCTCAGGCCCCGTGGGAGTGACAGGTCAGGGCCCCTCACTCCTGGCTCAGGCCCCGTGGGAGTGACAGGCCAGGGCCCCTCACCCCTGGCTCAGGCCCCATGGGAGAGACAGGTCAGGCCCAGGGCCTCTTGGCTCAGAGCTGGGGCACAGTCGCCGACTCTCCCATCGCACCCCTGGGGCACTGGTGGGTCATGCTGCCACCAGCCAGTCGTGGGCCAGCGGGAGGTGAGCGGCAGACAGACAGCGGGCGGTCGTGGCTCTCGGGCTGTGGAGGGGGTTTCCTTTAAAACACAATTCAAATACTATTTCAAAAAGAAATACTATTTCTCATTCATAAAAGTCTTTATGACCCCGCTCGCCAGCCCTGCCCCTGCCCAGCCTTCTCTGAGGGCCCCTGGCAGCAGCCTGCCCCTCACCCTGCTGTCCCTGTGGAAGTTCAACAGCATGGTCCTCTACTGCGTGCCCAAACCGCGGCTCCTGGGCCAGAAGTTCAGTGTCCGGGAAAAGATGGACATCTCCGACCTCCAGGTGGGTGAGCCCCCGCCTAACCCCCATCCCTAGAGGCACAGAGCAGGCTCCGGTCCCTGCTGTGCAGCCGGCACTGGCCGCTTCTGTAGCCGCCGAGCTGCCCGGGCCTGGCATCCTGGGCCCGTGGGCAGGATTCCGTCCCTCTGCCTGGCCCACCTGCCAGGGGAGGTCCTGTGGGGCTCATGCTCACAGCTGAAGGATGGCCCAGGACCTTGGCTGGCGTTGGCCCCTGTGCGGTCAACGCTCAGGGCCCCCTGACAGCACCCCAGGTGAAGTCGAGGTGGGTGCCTGACCCGTCCATGCTCCCATCTCCGGGCCCCGTGAGGCTCTAGGGCCTCACCTAAGCCGGGGCGGCAGCGCAAGGCTGTGGATCGGTAGGAGCTCAGACATAATGGCCAAATCCAAGTATTTGATCCGTTCTAGAAAGGGAAGTTTCGCCCTAGTGGTACAAAAGAATTCTTACTTTGAAATTCTCTGAATCCAGGTTTAAGAAATACCATTCAAAGTAATGACTAACTAATGACCACAGTTAGAAGAAACTAGTTTTCTAGTGTTTCCCTGTAAAAACAGAAAAGAAAGAAAAAGAAAATCAGTGTGTGTGATCCACTGGGTGTGTTAGAGCAGCGGTCCCCCTGTGCGGCTCCCTGAGCAGCCCGGCCCTGCCCCCAGCGCGGGCCCTGGTCTGCGGGTCTC